TATATATATATATGATAGCTGCAGCAGAAACAATCAGCATTTAATTCGCAAAAAAAAGCAGTAGAAGCTACTAAAGAATGTTTGAGCTCTAGTAATTTTAGTTTATTTAATAGTGAACTATAAAAGGCAGATAAAGCGAGCTTTCTGCACTTAGTGAACTGCAGTTCACCAACTTTAAACAGAAATGAAGTCACAAAAAAGTAGTGACGAACACGGTACAATAAACCAAAATCGAAAATTATAAGACCTTTTTCAAAACTTTCTTTTTAATATTGAAAATTGTAGCACAGCGTATTAACCGTACAGAAAAATTGAAACTTAGAAAAAGTTGATTATCTACAGCATTACAGAAAAAAGTTTTTGCTGTAAACTGTTTTGTACACATTTGGTATATTCTTGAGAAAAGAATTTGGTTTCAAATATTATTGATTTTTACTGGCAAAAAAAATTTATTTGTTGTTTTTGATAACTTTTTTTTGTACAGGTGAAATAATACTATTTTTTGTGAAAAAAACCACAAGCAACACAATTGTGTAGTGGGTGAAGAAAGAAATGTTGTCTAATGTAAAAAGAATGCAGTGTCAGAAAAATTTGTCGACATTTGTGTTTGTTATGACCATAATAAATCTGTGATCATTGTTTTGAAGACTTATTATTTGGGAAAAAAGGTAAAGTGGTGGAAGTAGAAGAAAGTGACAATTCTTTTGCAAGAATGCATGCAATTCTTGGTTATGTGAAAGGAGAAAGTAATTTCACAGACGGGACTGATATCGAATATCTGCAGATGTACGGGCTAGTTGGATCAGAAGACGAAATGAGTTTGGAAAAACCCTGTTATGGCATATTTCCAGGTTTTTTAATTATTTTACTGTTACTTAACAAATCTTTAGATTATAGTTTTTTCTTTTATTTATATGTAAAAAAAAAATTTTTTCTCGATTTGGTGACTGTATAACTGTCTGCTGAATAGCCGTACAAATTTTTTACAGAAATTTTTGAAAAGTAATTTACAGCTGTACTCTGATAGTTCAGTTTAGACAGCAACAGCATCTCAAACACACAGTTAGGTGTAAATAAGCTGTAAGTTGCAAGCTATGTGTAGAATAGTTGCCGAAATTGCAGAATTGGTTGACCGAGTGCCATGCAGTGACAGCGAGTTCCAGGTGCACGTTTGTCGATCAAACGCTCTGTACACTGAAGTTAGTGTTTTAAATTATTAATTAGTTGGTTCCCTTCTTGAATTCGGTCTAAGTAATAATGTTCCTAAAAAAATGTCGCTGAAGTTTGATTATATTTAGTGTAACTGCTTTAAGCTGTCTGGAATTATATTTGAAATGTGATTACCGTTTGTCATGCTAAATTCTAAAAAACTTGTGTAACAAAATTTTTCCAAATTTGTTTTTTTTTTTTTTTAGCAAAATACGAAATACCTTAATCTCGTTTTTAGACAACCTGTGTATCTGTTAAACATTTTAAATCCTAAATTTCTTGAAAATTAAAATTGAAAACAAACAGTTTTTGCTAAACGCGTTAGATTATTACAAAGACTCTTTCTAATTTTTCCTAAATAACTTTTTTTCTTCTTTTTTTTCGACTAAATTTTAAAGCTAAAAATTATATAACTATAATAATTTTTATGAAGATTTGATGTAAAAAGTAAATTTAATTCTCAATATCATAATTTTTCTTCTACAAAATGAATGCCAGTGCCAATTGCATGAGTTTGAAGGAAATCACATAGAAACAATACTTAAGCCTTCCAGGCAGTAGACAAGCAGTTCCCTTCATTTTCTGACCATGCTTTTGATTTCATCTGTCTTGATTTCACTTATCATTTGCTTGAAAAACATTCTTTCGGTTTCTAGTGAACGAAAGACCGCGAAAACAAATTTTATCTAATAACCGACAAACCCAGAAAATATTTGGGCAAAATATTAACTTTTTAAAACAGTCAGGTTTTTCTTTTCAGTTTGAAAAAATACAGAGTCATTCAACGGTACCTTGCTTGTAGTTTTTACTTTAATTTAAAAATCATAAACTGATGAACTTTTAGAATCTAGCTCTGCATTATGGTTAGTTTCACTTTGCTGTGTTTAATAGTGTTGTCAACAAGAAAAAAAAAAGTATAAAGTTCTTTACAAAATCTAGTTCTAATTAAACTTTGGAAGAAAAAAATTGGCGATAAAAGCTGTTTACTGCCGAAGATTGTGAGGGAATTTTAGAAAAAACTAATAAAAAATGTCCAGCTCCGCCAATCGGATTCAACGATTACAAATCAATTCGTGCAATTGCTGCAGAATACAGTGCTTCTGAATACTGCATCTATAAGTTTGAAGTTCGTGAAATCAGCATATGTTGAATTTTAAATAAACCAGTGATATAACATTGCATAGTTTAGTTTTTCTGTTGCTCTCCTATAATTATTCGTTATTATCTTGTCAGTTATTCAATATGACAGGATAAAGTTCTACGCTGTTCTTGCATCTGACTGTTTGCAGGAAGTAGATTACGAAAGTGGGATTTGGTTTAATAAATTTGAAGCTTTATGTCAGAAGGTTAATGGTAATCTTTTGTCGGTAGGTAACAAGGAAGAAGATGTTTTTTTACGTGGTAACTAATTTGCCTACCTTTTTCTTCTAATTTCAAAACATAATAAACTTTTTCAATTATTTTTTTCACTTCCGTTTGTTTTCTTTTGAACAAGATGGGAATACAATTTATAACAGTATAAAGTACTAATTACGAGAGTAATAACAAGAGTGATAAAAACTATAAAAATACGAGTAGTAATAAGTGATACCTCGAACAACGCTTTTTACAAATCAAAAAAATCGATTCTAAAAAATCATTGTCATTAAGCAGTTTAAGAACTCTTGTTTCCATCGTTTCAAAGTGAAAGAAAAATGACCGGCATAACGAGGATACCGCTGGGTCTTATTTATTACAATGGTGAAGTGTTTGATTTTACGGATGGTACTGGCGGAGAATATGTTGTTAAACAAGTTCTTATGAATAATCCGATGAGACTAAGCGACACATATGATTCAAATAGGGGTTTCTGTTTCGAGATGGTTAGAAATTATAATCTTCAAAAAGGTAAATGATTTAAAGAATTTACTCTAAGTATTTATGTACTTATACGTCTATCATTTCTTGTACAAATGCTTTGCAGAGAAAAAATTGCGTTTAATTTTTAAAAAAATTTAAGATTACTATCAGATGGTACGATGTGGTAAAGAACATACTACAGCAGTCTGTAAGGTACCTCTGCCATCTAGAGGTAGTGCAGAAGTTAGTACCAAGCTTTTTCTCGTGTTATTTATTGCTGTATGGTTGATACAAACAGTTTATTATAAAATATTCTTTTTCTGTATAGATTAGATGTCTTCAGCATACGTTCATCAGATTTAAACGGGATACCTTTTTAGAATGTTTTTGAAGAAATCTGTTTATTTCAAAAGCTTTTTAGGATCACTCTGGAAGAACTTCTCCAAAACACATCTACGGCAAGTCTTTTTTTTTTTGCTAGCATATCACCAATATCGACATAATTTCCCTGGAATGTAATTAAAAATGTAGACCCGTTTTGTATTGATAGACTAGACTCGACAGTATTTTAACGACAGTATTTTCGGGTGTAATTATATAAGTGCAGCAATCGGTTTACTTTTCATTCTTCAAATGCTTTTTACAGAAATAAGTGAAATTTAATGTATTGTTAGTTAAGGCTGTTAGGTGGCCACAAGACCGATGGGTTGTACTTCGGTGTTAAACACGGCAAAAAAAGAAAAATAATATAGCACTGCGTAGGTTTCACTTAAAAAAAAAGCAAGACCTGAAGAGGAACAATATGGACAGAATAAAGGAATGCGATGAAATTATTCTATGCCAAAAATTATTTTATTTACTCTTCACTATTTTATGCTTCAGTGACAAAGCAAAAAAAAACAATCAGAAAAAAACCAGCAAAAGCTTTAGTTTTCTGATACCATAAGAAATTGTTTTGGGTAATAAGTTTTACATTACAGCTGTCGCAAATTGAATCCTAGGTAGTGTGACTAGTAAAAGCAGTCGTTGTGCAATTCCTGATTCGTAAAGTGATTACACTGAGAACCGTTTCCAATATCTTTTTGCTCTTCCAGTTGCCTAACCATTAACAACAAATTTTTAACTGACTCACAATTTTGCTTATTCAGACGTACAGATAATCAATTGAATCTAACACACTTATTGTTTTGTGTAGTTATAACAACGCTAAAAAAACAGATTCATCACGAAGGTTGAAAAGTAAACCACGAATCGATAACTGATTTAAAACCTAGAACTATTTAAA